TAGCATTCCAGGGCGTTTTGACTTTATGGCACATCTCAGTTTCTGCAAAGTGTCTTCATAGAGCTGTGCACTGATTGTGGCCCCATGCTCGAGAAATTCAACAAGCAGAGGGCCCTTGCAGTCAAAGAATGTCATTGTAACGCCGTGGTGGCAGGGGGCGTGGATGTATCCCTCCGCTGCCACCACTTGTAATGCCGTGGTGGCAGGGGGGCGTGGAAGGTATCCCACCGCTGCTGCCACCACAGCTTACGCTGTAAGGAGTTAACACCATAATCCTAGCTTACCATCAGCTAGGATTCTCCTAGTTCGGGGCTTCCTTCCTTACTTAAAGCTGCCACTATCTATTATATCGCACGAAGGTAGGTGAAAATACTAAGAGAGGTGATGAAAGTACTAAGGGCCGGTAGCGCGGTAGTCGAGCGTCCTCTATGGGCTGGCCCTTTCATCACTGTCACCTCTTATTATTGGCGTAGAGCGGGCGTGTCAGGTCTGACCCGCCTCTACCTATCGTCTGTCATCTCTATGGTGGGAACTACCCCCTGACATATTGTCATAGCTCCCTCTTGACAACTCTTCATATAGTCTGCAGGAAGCAACGTATTACATTATTATGATTCTTAAGGGGCGCTGATACCAAGGCCACTAAACGCTGCCTGCGTGGCAGGTGCCTATCCCTGTCCATTCCTAGTACCTCCCCTTAAGCATTCGGCTGCTGCTGCCTTTCGTTTTGGTAGGATCCTTGGGATCGGTCGTGGAAAGGTGATTATGGAGTTGTGTATCACAATCCCGGTACATCTTACTCTATCTACTCTATTTACACTCTTATTTACATTATTTACAATATTAACAAAACCGACCTACAGTCGGGTCTACATAGGGTCTTTACTTCATCCTATGCTTCCTCACGTCCTCCCTTAAAATACTCTGCCCGTAATCTTAACACATACTCCATAACACAGACATACTGCCGGACTATCTTCCTAGGCAATTACTTGTTACATAATTATTACTCTCCCATAAGGGCTCGCCGAGCACACTGGAGTTTGCTTTCGATATTTTCCACACACTTTTATCAACACTAATGTTTAACAACATGGCTTATATGAGTAAACGTGACTTACTTGGAATCAAAGACGTAGGCCAACTTCCACTGCTTGTAAGACCCATATTGAATAGTGCCTCCGGCTGACAACTGAATATTATGTTTGAGATCAGATCCCAAGTCTCCTAAATTCAGTAATTTATATATTTAACTTGCTGAATCGGCTGTTGACGAAAGAAGGAGGTTAACTCCTCCTTTTGTTCTCAATTCCCAAAGTTATATTCTAATTGGCTATTCTCTGTGGTTGTGGGTGGGCCCATGGTGTCTCATCGCTGCGTATATAATAATATTACCATCTCCAGTGGCCCCATTAGCAGAGCTTCTTACTTATGTGATTACGCATAAATGCTGATCATCTACATTCTTAACCTAGTTGCCTGTCCAGATGTTGACATACTAATGTAATGGCTGTAAAACACTTTCCGCAAGTCTCGAACATTTAGGTAATGCCTTAAATTTCCAATCTCAAAATTGAGGCGCAACAGTCATCATCACTTTACTGAAACTTGTGTGTATGGCTTTGGATTTCTTCAGTGAGGGAAAAATCACGTGTTTCCACTGTTAGCTCTGCAGTTTGCTCTCAGGTTCAAAATGGTGGCACAAAGTTTCGTCCCCAGTGGCAATACGGGACAGAAAAGCACACTCTTCCTCATGGTATCATTGCAAGTGACCCAGTGATGCAGGCATTCTCTGAGTCTTCTGTTCCTCCATGAGTTGCTGTGGAACACACTGTGCACAGATTTTGCAGCACAGCAGGTGTTTTGTCACAATGGCATGTAAGGAACCTGACTTATTCCCTACAAACGACTAATTTCTTCGACACTGATCTGTCGGTTTGCCCAGATATGACCATCCAACGCAGCAATAACATCAGGACTGATGACACGATGAGTCTGTCCTGAGCAAGCATCATCTTCCCTTACTGATGTTGGACGACCACAGGTAGCGCTAACCTTACGTCCAGCACAATAAACAAACAACTAGTGTGCAGGGGCACGTTGTCACTGTGCTTTCGCCAAGTCCCCACCAGATGTTCATAGCAGAAGCAAATTCCAGTGTTACCAACTTGTGAACCATGTCAGTTATGCGTGGTGACCCATTTTCATTTGACTGTCCGTTATACGTGTGTATTTACACACAGGTGTATATGTTGACTAAGCAGAGATTACAAATGAATGAAGCACTGACAGACACCTATACCCCAATATATGACATCTTAATAAAGGCAATTTCAGATACACACAAACAAAACTCATCCCAGAACCATACACCCACCACCACATTACTCCATCTCCTAACACTCTTCCTTTCCCCCCCCCCAACCCATCCCTCTCCCCCCAAATCCTGAGACAATATATGACAAGGGATATCCAGAAAGTAAAGACACAAGTCCACTAAAAATGCTAGGGATTTTTTTTTTTCAGAAATGGCAGTGATACCATATGAGATAGGAACCATATGACAGAGCTTAGTTCACTGGCCAGAGACATGGTAATGTTGTGCTCACAATGTGTGTTTAAAATGACAGTGTTGATTCAAAATCCACCCAAATGTGAGGTTCATGCAGTAATTCAATTTCTTCACATGAAAGGAGAAAGTGCTGCTGAAATTCATCACCAACTTGTTTCTGTTTACAGCGAAGATGTTATGAACAGGCAAAACATGGAAAATTCGTGTTGTGAAATTTGTGCGTGAAGAAGTGATGTTCATGATGAAATAAGGAGTTGTCACTGATGAAATCATCTAAAGAAATGATGAAAACATTCATGCTGACAGACGTTTAACCATCGATGAACTTCATCAACAATACTGATATATTGGGTTTCTGGACTTTATCCATCGTCCTGGTTTTTAAGATAACAAATAAAAACACGACGTTTCGGAAACTGGATCTGTTTCCGTCCTCAGGTGAAGGAAAAGGGGAAACACCTATTCTGTTGGGTCCGTTAGAGAGAGCTAGCCTCAATCACTGGCCCAGGACGATGGATAAAGTCCAGAAACCCAATATATCAGTGTGTTATACACCATCGTCAAAATCCTATAGTAACTACTTCATCAACAATGTCCAGAAGTGTCAAGAACTGTTCTCCATGTCTAAGAGAGCCAGTGGGACACTTCTATGACACTGGAACAAAAAACTTGTTCCCAGGCTTACTAAGTGCATTGCGATCCATGGTGACTATGTTGAATAGTAAATAAAGGTGTGTTGTAAAAGTGCTACAAGTGAATCCCTCCAATATATGCTTTACAAACATTTTTTGGACTTTGTACCTTTACTTTCCAGATAACCTTCATAGAAACATTGAGGTACTACAATCTGTGGCAGTATAGACCATGCAGTAATAAGTATACCAAGAAAACTACACAACATAAAACACAACATTAACCGTAAGTACTAAAGGAAGGCTGTAATAATGGAAGCAGCCTTTGGTAAACCAATCGTAAGTTATACTACTACTAAAACACGCAAATTACTATAGATCAATCCAGTCATTACAGATGAACAATATATAAAAATAAGATCATTGGTCCTCAAAAAGGTTGAGCACGGTAATAACTGCACACTGAGGTGGCACATCAAATAATAGAAGAATCTGAGAAGGCTAAGCGAAATCTACTGCAGCTCAAGACATGAAGCCAATCATAGCTCATGAATTTATATCAATTTTAAAATTAATTCTTAAATTCATTTTAAATCAATTATAAAATTAATTTTAGCTTAATAAAAAATGGTTAAGTTCAATGCTTAGTCTCACTGGAGTCAATATCCACTAAATAGTATTGTGACATGTTGCGCAAAGCCGAGCCCCCCCCCCNTATTACGTGGCCGTATTGTCCGATCGAGGTTACATAAGGAGCAGCGAAGGCTATTCACAGTCAGTTATAAAGCAACAGTCGCCGAGGTCAGTTGTATTGTGGCATTTGGAGTGTACTAATTGTGATACTGCAGATAGCAGTAATCGTAAATCTGTAATTTGGGTGATTGCAAGTGCGAATGTGAAATAAAATTCGCTACATCGAATACATCGAGAATTTATTTGTCGCGATATACGCCCAATACGCGACAACTGGTGTCAGAAGTGGGATCAGTAACGAAACACGTTACAGTATATTGCATCTCCCCTTGTCAAATCTAACAGCATTTCAGAAAGGTCCACAGTATTTTGGAATCAAAATTTATAATACTCTTCCAAGCAAAATAAAACAGTTATCCAGAAACAAAAATCGATTCAAGAAAGCACTATTACAATTTCTCCATTTACATTTTATGGTATGGATGAATTTTTTGATCACAGGGTTAAAAAGATTGATAATTGATTTCATTAGGATTATATACATAAGTAATGAAAAGTTAAATTACAAATTTTATAATTTTAAAATTATGTTTACATAAATATTTTAACACGTATTATATTTTTTGTAATTATTATATTGGACTATTGTCTATATCCTGAGTCTTACGACCTTGTAAAGGATTTTTGACATGTAAATAAATGATAATGATAAAATAAACATGAGTGCAACCAATTTAAGGCCTGTGTATGTAAGTAGGAATATAGGGGTTTCACAGTTCAATTCAGTAATTAATAATGTGTAACTAGAAAACCTGAAGATGACCCTTTAAGGGCCGAAACATGTAGTGTAACACAAATTAATAAGTGACTGTTGCGTTGATGGCTGAATTTTTATTATTAGTTGTACTTATGCAACTGGATGCAAACAATAAAAATAACAGGTAAAATACTACTACAGTAACCAATTTGGTGGCAAAGGCTCTTTACTCATTATATGCCATTTACTTGAGGTGACTGTTGCAAAAATGGAATCCTTTGTTTCTCTTTTTCTTGCAAAGTGCCAACAATCTCTTCAGCATATTCTGTGTACCACCATTTATTCAGTAATGACATCTGAAAGAAAGGAATTTCTTACATCAACAAAGCAGTAGCAAATCATTATGAACATATACAATAAATTAACATGCAGTCCTCAAGAAGGCAACAGCCACTCAAATAGTTGACAAATTCCCTGCTTCTATGCAACCCAAAGGTTTATGACTGTACTCAAAAGAGCCCAACACTTGTCCATATGCTGAGCCAAATGAATACAATCCACACCATTGCACTATTTCTTTATGATCCACTGTATTACCAGTAAAGTCTACACCTTCTAAGTTGCCTCTTCCCACGACATTTTCTATGCAGTACTCATTTTTCCAATATGTACATCAGTTACTGTCCAACTCATTCCTGATTTAATTATGCTACTATATAGTGAACAGTACAGATTATGATGCTCCTAAGTGTACACTTTTCCTAGCTTCCTGTCACTCCTCCCTCTTAGATCAAACATTCTACTCAGCACCCTGATCCAAAGCATCCAAAGAACACTCAAGCTATGTTGTTTTATGTATGAGCAACATTTTATGGTTACATTAAAGAACAGGTAAAATTATAGTTTTGTATACAATATTTTTTACAGTTAAGAAATGTAAAGACAAATTATTTTGAACTGAATGGTAACAAATATTTCCTGAATGTATTTGTTTTTTAATTTCTTCAACAATGAGAGACAGTTATTGTAATTCTAAAAATACTTTAACTTTGACACAATTCAACAAATTAGTCATCTTTATATCATAGCTTCAGCCTGCACTCTGGTGACAAGACATGAACATTTTTCTCTGTATTTACCTTAAGAACATACTCTTAATGGCATTTCAGAGAAATTCAGGTTCTCTACACTGTGTTCATGTTATATATCCCACTGTACTCCCATTCCTTTGTCAGTATTTGACAAAAGCACAATAACCGATCTTCAGTTCATCTACTATGTCAAAATCCATACTGATAATTCCCATTAATTCTGTGGATATGAGATTAACCTGGAGTGTAGCAGCGAATATAATGAATAAGCAGTTATGGACAGTTGACAAGGGGTGGTCCTAAAGTGGAGGGGTTGAGCGTTGGACTAAAACCTCCGAAACGTAAAAGATGAGCTTCTTATGAAAGATCACAAGACTCAGACCTGACAGATTTTTGGATAAACGCCCTGAGTTAAAGAAAATGGATATGAGATTTGGTACTTGGAATGTTAGAAGTAGGTACAGGGCACACTCACTCAGGACAGTGGCAGAAGAAATCTCAAAATATAAGTTAAATTTAGTGGGAGTATAGGTCAGATGGGCCAGAGATGGCACCAAACCAGCAGGCAAATATATATTTTTCTATGGAAAGGGGAATGATAATTATGAATTAGGCACAGATGTTTTCCTACATAAGAGAATCATATCAGCAGTTAAGTTGGTAGAGTTTGCTAGTGGTAGGATGTCGTACATAATGCTAAGAGGCCGCAGGTGTGTTATCATTGTTCTGAATGATCATGTACCTATATTATTTGCAGATGACACTAGTTTGTTAGTTAAAAGTTCAAACTATGATGATCTTTGTGTAAATATAAACAATGCTTTTCATAGTATAAATGAAAGGTTCTAAGTAAACCAACTTTCTATAAATTTTAACAAAACCCACTACATTCAATTTACAGCTAGAAATAATAATCCTAAATCTGAAATAAAAACTGTATATGATAAAAAACAAATTACATCTATAGCCAATATTAAATTTCTTGGAATATTCATTGATGATATGAGCTGGAAATACCACATTGAGTATATTAGTTCTAAACTAAGTGCAGTCTGCTACATAATGAGATTGCTTAAACCATACACGGCCATAAATACCTCAAAAATGGTTTATCACTCTCAGTACATACTATCTCTTATGCTCTTTGTCATAAAAACATAAACAAATTCATAGTAAATTCAGAGATTCATAGAATAAATACCAGACAGCAAAATAATATCCATCAGCCTCTTGTAAATTTGAATAAATACCAAAAGGGAGTTTACTGTTTAGGAACAAGGGTCTATAATAATCTACCACAACATATTAAGGATATATCGAGTAACACTATGAATTTTGAGGTACAATTAAAACAATTTTTATATTTACATTCTTTTTATTCTTTACAGGAATATTTTGGTTATAAATCTTTTTAAGATGCGAGTAGTTGTCTTGCTTTACAATTAAAAGAAGACAAGATTGTCGGTCTGTGTTCTGGTTTTTAGATGCTTATTTTAGATATATACAATCTTTATATTACTGTATACTAGTCTTTATTTCAATTTATTATATAATTAATGTATGTCATACATAACTCATTAATGACATTGTGTTCTAACTGTTGAATTTTTAATTAAGACTTGTATAAAATTGTACAAATTGTATAAGGTTTGCCATTACTTTTACTACTAAAATAAACTTATTTATTATACTGCATATGTTTATCAGTATTTTATACAAATGTGTATGCTACTGGATGACAACTGTAATCCTTAGTTGTGACTGTAACTAGGACGATCTCCACATCCGCATGAGAATGTACTCTCAACAGGATTTATGGAAGGTGAATAAATGAAATGAAATCTAAAGTAGATGATTATTTATATACAGAGTGGGGCGCAGAAACTTCTTTTTTTTTTTAAGGCGAATTTCAATTTATTATATAATTAATGTATGTCATACATAACTCATTAATGACATTGTGTTCTAACTGTTGAATTTTTAATTAAGACTTGTATAAAATTGTACAAATTGTATAAGGTTTGCCATTACTTTTACTACTAAAATAAACTTATTTATTATACTGCATATGTTTATCAGTATTTTATACAAATGTGTATGCTACTGGATGACAACTGTAATCCTTAGTTGTGACTGTAACTAGGACGATCTCCACATCCGCATGAGAATGTACTCTCAACAGGATTTATGGAAGGTGAATAAATGAAATGAAATCTAAAGTAGATGATTATTTATATACAGAGTGGGGCGCAGAAACTTCTTTTTTTTTTAAGGTGAATGAAAGAAAAATTATTGCTGATAGACAAAATTTATGTTTAGCTAATGAAAGAACATACTTTAAAGTTTTAAACAAAACAGCTTGAAGGTGGCGGCCACCATACTCTATGCACTGATGCAACCGTTTTCTATAGTTCCCCTCTGCACGTTCCAACATGTGCACAGGAATTTGGGCTACTTCCTGCCGAATAACATTCTTCAGCTGAAGCAGGAGCAATGTTCAAAAACCTCTGCCTTGAGGTATCACCATTAAAAAATTACAGGGTGTTAGATCAGGTGAGTGCGCTGCCCAAGGGATGTCACCTCGAAGTGAGATGAGCCATCCGGGGAACTTTGCCCTCAAAACTGTCATCGAAGCTCGGGCTGTGTGGGCCGTGGCACCATCATGTTGGAACCAGACAATTCCTAGATGCATTTCTTCAAGAGCTGGTTTGAAAAAGTTTTATAATCATGTCCATATACCGCTGTGAATTGACAGTTACTGCACGATTGTCTTCTTCAAAAAAATAAGGGCCAATAACTCCAACTCTCGACAACGCACACCATACTGTCACCTTATCACTGTGAAGTGGCCTCTTATGGAGCTCTCTGGGATTGTTACCACTCCAATAGTGCATATTCTGCTTGTTGACATATCCGGATAGGTGAAAATGTGCCTCATCACTAAAGAAAACAAGTGTGTCAGGGGGTAAAGTTTCCAATAACGTTTCTCACACCATTATTCGGTTCTGGAAATCACGTGGTGACAATTCTTGCACAACAACCATCTTATAGGGATTGAAATGAAGATGTTCATGAAGAATTTGGCGCACTGAACGATTGGATATGTCTAGGGTGACTGCATGTTTGTGAGCGGAGCGTCTTGGAGATCTCAAAATCGACTGTCGAACTGCCTCCACATTTTCTGGTGTAGTAATGGTCCATTGTCGTCCTGATGATTTTTTCACCACACTCCTGGTTGTCCTAAAGTTATCTACCCACAAAACAATTGATTTCTAGTCGGGAACCGGACCTCTGGGCTTAATTCAGAAGTGAGTATGGAATGCACGCTGCATCGCCACGTAGGAATATTGAAAATAGGCTTCAACAGCAAACGCACACTGCTCACTCGTCCACCTCATATTTCCTACTGAGGGGTATTAGACAGAAACTTCCGCAACTGCTGCGTTCGCTGAGCCTATCCCCACTTTTCTGTGACCTCCCTTCCCTTCAAAATGCATCTTCCCAGAAACGAAGTTTCTGCACCCCACCGTGTATTTTTAGTTAATAGGATTTGTCAAGGTTAATTTTTGATACTATTTATAAGAACCAAGATCACCCTTTGTGTTCCACTCATAATATTCATTTAAAGAATAAAATGAACCAGCAAGAAGAAACTCTTTTAGAGCCTGTTTGAATTCAGTAATATCATTTTATAGATTCCTAATGCCTTGTGGTAGATTATTGAATATCCTAATCCCTGAATAATATACAACCTTCTGCACTTTAGCTAATTTATTAATTGGAAAATGTAAGTCAAAGCCTTGTCTGGCGTTAATGCTGTGTACAGCAGAATTAAATGTAAATACAGTAAAACTTGGTTATAGCAACATCGGTTTCTGCGACACCTTGTCTATTGCGTCAATATTCAATGGTACGAACTAATTCCTCATAAAGCAACTGTTTTTATACCTTGCTTAGTACGACATGCACAAATGCATCAACCTCGTATGTAACGTCATTTTCATTCCTCAATTTCTCTGATATGGACATTGAACGTAATTTAGAAAGTGTGTATTGGGCAAGTAACATGAAACAGATGAAGATAACTGATTACTGTACTCGTATCTAGGTACAGTAAGGCACAACAATTGATGTAATCTACTGTAATTTGGTGAGTAGGCCTACCTTTAATATACAGTATTAGTGCGGTGTGTATTGTCAGTGAAAAGCGCTGTAATATGTCTTTGATATTACACATTTGGGCAATTCCACGTTAATGTTACGTTAGTCTGTACTTAACTACGTATTTCACTAAAAAATGCAACATTTTAACTCGGTTTTTGGTAGATTTTTACGTGACTAACATAAGGCTACTGTGGAAGTGCCCATTTCAGTTACAACAACATTCGTTTATAACGACACTATTTTTAGGTCCCTCTGATGACGTTATAACCAAGTTCTACTGTATATCTAAATTCTTAACTACAAAAATTAATACAGAAAATATATATTGAGAATATAAGGGCAGAATATTTAACTGCCTGAACAATGGAAAACAAGAGTCCTTATGTCTTGCCTTCATAATAATTCTCACTATTCGTTTTTGGATTTTGAAAATTAAATTACTATGAGTCAAATTGCTCCAAAATATTATTCCATACAACATAATGGAATGTACCTACATATGCAAAATAAATCATCCTTAAACTCTCCATAACTGCAGATAAGGTTTTAACAGAATAACTAGTTGCACTCAGCTTAGTTACAAACTGATTTATTTGATCTTTCTATGATAAGGTATTATCTATAATTAGTCCTAGGAATTTTGTATTACAAGTATTTTTAATTTGAACATCCTTACAGTTTACATTTGTTTGATCTAGTATTTACTTTTGATGAAAAATGCACATAGTTCTGTTAAAATTTAATGATAATGAATTATTCATAAACCGGGTGTCTATTTTGTCCAGTATAGTTTTCAATACCATTATATGTTCCACAGAATCAGAATTGAAACACAGTATATTGGTATCATCAGCACAGAAAATTGGTTCTGATATTTTCTTTATTAAGCAAGGCAAGTCTTTAATATATAAAAGAAAAAACAAGGGGCCAAGTATTGAACCCTGTGGTACACCTTGTTCAACTTTCTGTCAATCAGAAATACCCATAGAATAATTATTATTTATTCATGTTCTCTGATATCTGTCACTCAGGTAGGAGTTAATCAATTTTTCAATACTGCCATTACTTGGACATCTACTGATGGAAAGACACACAACCACACTGACCATATTTTGATAGAGAGGAAACAGCATTCAAGTATACCTGATGTCTGATTGTTCAGGACAGCAGATTGTGATAATGACCACTATCTGGTGGTAGCAAATGTTAGGGAGAGAGAGGCACTGAGTAAACAATCAACACAGAGCAATCATATGGAGAGGTTCAATCTCAAGAAATGAAATGATGTAGAGGGAAAGCAGTATTGTGTTGATATTTCAAATACGTCTGCACCTTTAGAAAACTTAATAGAGCTTGGGAAACTACTGTATTAGAGAGAATATCAAAATTTCTGCCAAAGAGAGTCTAGGTTACTATGAATTGAAGAAGCATAAGCCATGGTTCAATGAAGGATGCTCAGAATTATTAGACCAAAGAAAACAAGACAAACTGCAGTGGTTACAGGAGCCAGGCAAAAATAAATGGGGATAATCTGAACAATGTAATGTGTGACACCAGCAGGCATTTCATGAATTAAAACAGGGAATATATGACAGACAAAACTGATGAGACTGCAACGAACATTGGAGACCTGTACAGAGGATTAAATGACTTTCAGAGGGGTTACCAACATAGAGGTAATTTAGTGCAGGATGAGAATTGTGATCTGCTTGCTGATTCCCAAAACATTTTGAATAGGTGGAGGAACTACTTCTCTCAGTTATTGAATGTACATAGGGTCTGTGATGTTAGGCAGATAGAAATACATAGAGGTGAGCCATTAATACCTGATCCTAGTCTTTTTGAGTTTGAAATTTTTACTGCAATGTTGATAAATATAAATTGCCAGATAATCATCAAATTTTGGCAGAACTGATTCAAGCAGGAATTATGTTCTAAGATCCATAAGCTAATTAATTGTTTGGAACAAAGAAAAATTGCCTGATTAGTGGAAGGAGTCTATTACTGTACCAGTTCACAAGAGGGGCGATAAAATTGTTTCATATATTTATTTTTAACATTTTCCAATGCCCAGTGCTACTCATAAATTAAATTTCAGGTTAATTCCTACGTTCTTGATGTCTCTGCTTTTTAATGGCTCTCTAATCACAAACATGCACGTACGGACACAATCATCCCAATGTTCAATACGAAAACCTGCTGTCATCCGTCGCAAATAACAAAACTGCTTCCATACATGGCTTCCGTTAACTATTACTTCACTAGCTACCATTTATTTTCCTCCCCCCTCGCGTTCCACGTGCTTGCAACCCTTGAAACGGAGTTAATTCTTAACAAATTGACGTACTTCATCCATTAGCACTAAAACACCCGTAAAGCAACCTTAGCAGTCTCATGAAAGCCTCGCTTAGTGCTAGATCATTCTAGGTTAATTTCATCTCCACCTTCGTTCTGCACTTTCCAATATACATCATGTCCCAAAGACAGTTAAAACCACGTGTTCCCACTCAAAACTTTACCTCATTGAACTGACGATACTTTCGAAAGGCCCTAGTACTTTAACTTAAAAGAGTTCATAGGGCTTACTTCGTTACCACCGAACGAAAAACGCATACATTTTGGGAGTATAGAAGCACAATTAATAACAAAATAAAGCACGACGTACACTGGCCAAACACACGAAAAAAAACATGACAGCCGCTGAGAACGGCTACTTTCTTTTGGTTTCATGCTCGGTGACTCTCCACATCCTGCCACAGATTTAATTAATGCAATTGACCGGTAACGTAGTTTCAGAATGTGTGCTGCCATCTTCTAATGGAGAGGTCCAGTCGTCAACGGTATCTCAGCTCAGTCGACAATACCGTACTTAACGTGACTCGGATTTCAAAGTCAGTATGGGTCAGTATAGCGACTGGCAGCAGGGTGGACGACCAAAAGGTCGAGTTCGAGTCCCGGAATGGCCAAGAATTTTCTCTTCTCCACCTCGTCCAGCCCGGCTCTGGGGTCTATCCAACCTATCCAATGGTTACCGAGGATTCTTTCCCCGGGGGGGTAAAGTGCCTGGGGCGTGAAGCTGACCACTCACCACCAGCTAATGCCAAGGTCAAGAAAATGTGGATATACACGTCCACTTCCTCATACGTATTCATGGTTTAGTACTTAACCAATCACAAGGGCAACTTTACATTTTTTTTTTACTTGTACAGGCTTCAAGACCCCTAACACTTTATATTAATTCACAGCATTCCAGCTAATATTTATAGGATTTCTTTGTATGGGTTACTTTACAACACTGTCAGTAGCTAGATTGCATATTGTTGAATGGTTTAATTGTTCATGAATTCAGAAGGGCTTAAGACATGGTCATGGCCTGGTACAGTTTGCCTACGATAATGGAATATGAAGACAATCTTGTCACAGTAACACATATAACATCCCTATTTTGCAGACGATCGTACTCAGTCTAGAGGACAAATTTGTTGCCCTGTATGTAAGTTGTTTAATCCATTTTCCTTTCCTTTTACCCTAGTGATGGGTAGTACTCGAGGCACAAGCATTTAATTATATCAAAATATAATCCCAAAGAGAAAAGTACCTAAGAAATGTAAAGAGTAGGTAGTGAGTGAGATTTGAGGTTCTCACAGTATTCTTCAGTATGTAGAGAGGTTTAATGATCATGAATGTGAGATGAGAAATTTGCCCACTTTTGCCAATTGGCCCAAATCAGGTTCCTTTCTTTCCCCTTCTACTTGGGTCTCACTTCATTACCACCCTCCTTATATCTTGTTTATATAATCAGGCCTATTCCTCAACATGTACACTTCAACCCTGATGACAGAGGAAACATAAGTATCTCCCCACAAAACTATATTTCACAACCCAGCAGACAACAATCTTCAGGATATTTTGTTCATCAGCATTTGTTTTCAACACAACTTTTTTCATAACCTACAGAGAACAAAGTTTTTTAAACATGTCTTCTGGTACTCTCATGCTTGGCCTTAGCCTCAGAATTGAAACAATACTCTGACATATGTACAACTTTTGATAAGTTTGAGGCTATGAATACCAGTTCATAGACAACAATGGTTTCACATAAGAAGCATTTTTCCTGGAGCCAGTGACTGTAACAACATACTTATAAGTTTTATAATACTGTCACATGATAAGTGACTATAGACGGGGTTTCGGTTGTTAACCGGATTTATTGGACTCTTTAAAAAAACTCTTGACCACATTTTACAAATCACTATCACATACAGACTAGTGTTCTCTGTCATAGTCTTCACTGCGCTGCTTTGTAGCAGCTTCCAGAAACTGATACACCCATTCCTCTGGGTTCTCGAACTGTCCCCCACCTTAGTTACCAGCATCTTTAACTCTCAATGGTCTGCTTGCAGCCTCTCTCTCTCAGCCCTTCACTAGACTCTTGACTTGGACTCTACTCGAACCGACTGCCTAATGGGAGCTGGTCGTCATTATATATATGGCCTTGGCACAGACCATACAAAAAACACCACATCCAACAGTTCCCCCACTGAAGAAAGCAGTCTTCTGGGATTTGGCACCGTGTATATGTGGTGTTAACCGACGTTTTGGAGGAACGTATCGCCTCCATCTTCAGACTGAGTCTGCTGAGTACTGGTTCTCATGGTCTTTTCGCCTGCAGATTTCTTATATTTTTCCTTCTACCCTGAAGATGAAGGCAACATGTTCTTCCGAAACGTCGGTTAACACCACATATACACGGTGCCAAATCCTAGAAGACTGCTTTCTTCATAGTCACTGCTGTGAAAACCTCAAATCTTACATAGTTCCCCCACTGTTGCATGCTTATGAAGCTGTTGCCTAGCTGTTCCCTAGCAACAGCTGTCTCTGCTTGCTTCATAATTCTGTAAGACTGTAACTGAGGCCATGCCATAGCACATGTGGTTAGTCGCTGGCTTCCCACCGCGGCGCCCTGGATTCAATCCCGGGTCTGGGAATGTGGGATTTGTGGTGAACAGTGGTGCTGGTTTTCTCCGAGTACTGCAGTTTCTCATGCCAATCTTCATTCCACCAAATTCTCCATCATCATAATCACCTGGGCAGGTACAATAGGCCAATCAGTGGCCGCCGTCCCGAGTGGACCCAGACGGACTCCACCACCAAGCGAAAAAAAAAAAAAAACTGAAAAACTGTAACTGTGAAATAGTAAAAAATATCTGGTCATGAGCCCCAGATGGGGATTG